ACGAAACACATTCGAACGATTGTGTATTATTGCGCAACAGCTCACTGGCATTAGCGCCGCCCACTGCGATTCAAAACCAATAGATTGAAATGCATACAAGGTAGGAAATAAGCAATGCCTAATTTTTTTCTGTAAGAGATAAAATATTTGAATCCTACATCTTTAATTTCGTTTGAGTTCGTGCGCTTATTACACTAAATTAATTAAAAGTTTGTAATGCATTAGCAACTTTAAAATGCGCGCTGGCAGAAAAAAGGCGGGTCCCACGGCCGTCGACCTGCGCATCTAGCAACGTTCGCCAATCAGCTGCCGTAAAATTTTGGGCCAACTATTCTTTCCCGTGTTTCGCTAGGGAAAACAAACGCAGATGAGGTATTAATTTAAATATTCGGTTTCATTTAAATGCTTTATATCATTTTCTCCTTGAATATTGGCTATTTTAAGTCTGAAAGACTCTGGGTGAGGTGCTAGCTCGATGGGAAGTTTACCGATTTAACTCAATTGTATTTAACGCAATTGCTCCTGATTACCTGTCTTTTGTCTATTTTATACTTTGTTGAGGGCTCCCAAGACCATTTTGACCGCTCAATATCGATTCGACCAGGGTTGGAGTATTTCGATCGATAAATTTAGCTTTTGGAAGCTTTTCTACGTTTTATTACCGTCCCCTTTGGAAGAGTTGTTAATGTCATTGCAACAAGATATTATTACGAGTGTGAACTCCTAAACATGTGAGAGTATGTCGCGACACTTTCGATAAGCCTAGTAATTCCAACCAAGTTATAAGAGTATTAGTTTTTGTCGAAGAGTGGTCCTTGTTCTTTTTTGCAGTGGAGGGTTTTTGCATAATGTATTATAGTCTACAATGCCTTTCATTTTTCAGATTTTTTTTAGCCTCTGCTTACTTGACAACCGTATTTTTAATACCTTTTCGTTATATTTCATCCAGAGGGACCTAAATCGGCTTATTTTTGATCTACTTATTCGATAAAAGTCATCAATTTCTCTTTAGTTTTCTTTGCTATGTGAATGATACTAAAGTGATGGTATAATAGTCGTGAATTAATACTGCTTTCAGTAACCTGCGTCTCCAGAAGCGCCTTGCCGCATCCGTTCTCAAATGCGGCAAGAATAAAATTTGGCTCGATCCCAATGAAGTCAGCGAAATCTCCAATGCCAACTCGAGGCAAAATATCCGTCGCTTGATCAAGGATGGTCTCATCATCCGCAAACCAGAAGTTGTTCACTCACGTTACCGTGCTCGTCTTTATGAAGAAGCCCGTAGAAAGGTACCAGTTTTTTGTTGATCATTGTTCATACTCAGTACTGTTGGAGAATCGGTGAACCCACCACAAATGTATCTGTTTCTGTCGATCTGCAAATGCAGCATGTGGCGAATCCGTGGAACAATTTTGCGATGCAGTTTTTTACCACTCTTGCGCGACGCCCAATACACTACCGCACACAGCGTACTCCACTAGAAGCCCGCCCCAGACAGTCACGCCCCTTTTTTCCGTGGACATACTTCACGCTTATTGTACAATGCCTTGTACGACATTTAAGTTGATCTCGTATGATAACTGCTGTTTGGCGCTGCAGTTCACGCTCCGAAACGTATTGGGAATAATCGCTGTGATCTGCACTTAGGTTTGTTGGGGGATCGGGGAACGTGGGAAGCTATCAGAAAGGGTATGAGGTGAGTCAACCCTGTCGGCCGGCCAAAGTAGGGAACTTGTGAAATCAGTGCCATCCTTTCACTCCTCTCTTGGTTTCCTGGACTTTTTCATGAACCATATCATATCAAGATGTGAGAAATTTCAGCCAAAATCCCCCCCCCCCACATGTTCTTATTGGCAACGGTTTCGAGCACAAAAACTAGTAACTCCTCAAGGTCCATCAAACAACGGGGATGGGGGTGGCAGAGTAGGTTCCGCTCGTCTATTCAGATGTGGCAAAACTATGTACCGCTGAAAAGGAGGGCGAGAGGGGTACATAATGCGTCTGAAACAAGAATCACCAAAAATCATGGGAATTCTTGGCTTCCAATTATGGCCCCCCCCCCTTCGATTTCCAGCGTTCGCGTAGAACCCTTGAAGAGGAATTTTGAACTGTGCTTTGTCCCCAGTTCTTCGATTCTTCAGTTCGGCGCTGGATATGAACGTTTTTGATTTTCTTCAATAACTTTGCTGTCTTTTTCACTTTTAATGTTTATTACCTTCGCATTGTAGGGACGACATTCTGGCTACGGTAAAAGGCACGGTACGAAGAACGCCCGTATGCCAGAAAAGGTTTTGTGGATGAGACGTATGCGTGTGCTCCGTAATTTGTTGAAGAGATATCGCGAGTCGAAGAAGATCGATAGATCCTTGTACCACGAACTGTACCTCCGTGCCAAGGGTAACAACTTCAAGAACAAGAAGCATTTGATGGAGTACATTTTCCGAAAGAAGAGTGAGAACAAGCGTGCTAAGCAACTCGCGTAAGTATTCAGAGTGTTCTTTATTTCGTTCTCAGATCTTTTGTTAGCAATTTCAAAAAGGTTTGTGTTTATAGTGATCAAGCTCAAGCCAGACGTGACAAGAATAAGGAAGCCCGTAAGAGAAGAGAGGAGCGACAACATGCCAAGCGAACGGAGCTCCTTCGCAAGATTTCGGAGAGTGAGAGAGCCGCCGCAGCTGAGCAGAAGTAACTTCATGACCACCAGTGCAAGTTCACAGAGCAGAAGTGAAATGTTGTTTTTGTTGATTGTTCTCCGACAAGAAAGTTATCATCCTATTGTTGTGTGTTACTACAGACGTCACCTTTTGATTGTTGCGGATTGATATGATAGAATTGATCAATTTGAGAATTGCGGATTGAGACGTACCCCCCTGTGCGGGTTGGAGTTTTCTACATCATTTAAATGGGTTAAGGCTTTGCTTGGGCTTGCTTGCTTGCTTTGCTTGCTTTGTCGCGTTTCTCTACATTTATCCCAGTGTGCAGCTGTGACACATAAATTTGCTCGTTATTACAGCTGGAATTTTGCGATATTTTGGCGTCCATATTTGGAAATGTAGCACAGGCAATAATAAGTACTGCATTACAAATCGTGAAAATGTAGAGCAGTTTACTGGTTTTGGTGTGCTTGAACGAAGTAGAGGCTCACACTTGTTCTCCGTCTTCTGCGCTACTACCTTGTCAGCTTGTTAGTCTGAGATTCCAGGAGCATCTAGTCTCCCACTGGATGAGCTCTACATTAGCTGCTTTCTGAGCTTACAGCTGGCGTCAAAATAACAAGTGCCAGATATCGTTTTCTGTCTTTAAAACACACAAAGACTTAAATGTATACAGTGCACGTGCAGGGAGAGGAAGTTTTTCGGTGATCCTGATTGCTGTGATTGAGTGGGTCAGTACCGGTCGTT